TATCAGCACCCAACATGATTTCATACACCTGTCTTTGGTTCTTCTCTGCAGGAAAGAATTTCTTGACAAGCACAGATGCCTGTATAAAGAGCCACTCACACATATCTCTTCTAATCTTTTCAGTGTTTCAGGAGAAATGGGAAGTCTCTGCACATTAGATTATCTTCTTATTGAATCTTTACTCTATTCTTGGTGCCTAGACCCCCAAGGACAGTGTAACGTCACAACCAAATGTGTGCTTCAATGGCTCACTATCTGGGTTCTCTCCAAGACCAGCAGTGTGACTTCTTCAATCATCCATCCTCATTTAAATAAGGCGTGGTAATGATTTCTACATCATAAAGTTTTTATGGGACTTAAACAAAACAGTGTAAAGAACACGGTACAGCATCTAACTCACAACACTCCTCAATAAATGGAATATGAGTATTAGCATGTGCTTTACCAATTAGAATTGAAGTTAAAATTAGGGTGAGTATCAATAGTAGTACCCTCTTTGCACATATCTTTGCCTCCATTTGTATTGGCCTTTCCCCCCTTCTCCAATTCAAATGATATCTCTTCTGGGATGCCTCTCCTACTCTCCCAGGTAACGTGTATCCATTCTCCTACCATCTTTTAATCTTTCTCCATTGTAACGCTCATCCCTCCAAATGCGTTCGTGTGGCCCTCTCACCTGCTACACTGCCCTTCCTGAGAATGGGCATGGGGCCAAGTTATGCCTACACCACTTGTCAGAGAACCTGACAGAGCTAGCTCTTCTGAAATGCTCTAAAAAATTTGAAAGGAACTGCAAAGGCTGCCTCGTGGCAGACAGCACCAGAAGTGCCCAGAGATCTGAGATTACCAGAAGAAAATCAAGGTGGAACCCTCTAACCCCACTGCATTGTGTAAGTTTTAGACAGTGTTTCTTTTCATAGGAGCTTGGCCAACTGTGCTGGCTTGGGAGGGCGGGTGGGGGCGCTGAAGAAGTTTCTGTGAATGATAACCATGTCTCTGCCTGCTCAGAATGATAGGAGCCAGTGTGAGCGTTTCTGCCTTGTCATGCTATCAGATGCAGTGAAGACACAGGCCTGTGACAGGCAGTGTGGAAAGGAGACACATCACTCTTAAATTGTTGGCATTGCTTTATTTATTTGCTTTATAAGGAGAGTTGAACGCTTTATGCTGGTTCTGCTCCTTCCCTTTTATTTATGAAGGGCTCCTTTCTTCCTGGTATTTATTGCTGTGAGTCACTTCTCTGTGGGCCAGATGGAAGATACAGAAGCTCCCGGCTGCCTGTGAAGAAACATGAGGCTTAGGGAGGGGGATCAGGCTGGGAGTGAGGGGAAGAGGGGGGGGCTAGGTTGGGGAGCCAGATTTATTTCTAAATGGGATTAAGCTCTCAGTCTCCTCCCTCCAGTCTCAGGAGGTTTGATCAATTCTCTAGAGATGGTTATTCTCATGTGTTTTCTCTCTTGCTCTTTGAGGCCATCTGTAAATTTGCAGGAGAAATTTAATCCGTATGGGCTCATTCATTAAAGTCATTAAGCTGTTGTTTAATGAGAACAATTTTGTGGCTGCAAATTCTTCAAAGTTTACTCCTAGCAGGCACGATTTCCTGTTTGTGAAGCACTTGGGCACTCAGGTTTGAGATGGTTGTTCTTCAGGCCTCCTGTTCTTGAAACTAAGGCTTATATCCATTCCAGAGAGGGCTGAAAAGGCTGTGTCTCCAGGCTACCAGATGCAATGCTGGCACCATATTTATCCTTCTAAGTCAGGATGAGCACATCCATAAGGCCTGAAAACTTTGAGAATTTCAGAAGCCATGATTTTCTGGACTTAGTAGATAGATGTGACATCATTTCCATGAAGCCTACTGCCATAGTTGGACTGGATAAGATCTCTTCCTTGGTCTGATTCTCTTTCTACCTCTGTGATATCCCTGTATCTTTTCTTTCTTGTATAAATGGAACTTATATGCTCTACTAAGTTTTAGACAGTGCTTCAGAGCACAGGCTTTGGGGTCAGGAGGCCAGGGAAGCCTCGAGTTGATGGGTTTACTACTTTGGAAAACTCAACAAAGATCTCTGAGCCTTGGTTTCCTATTTTACTTCTAAAACCATTTAAAACTGTATAATGTGAAATAGGCATATAAAAATGTATAAAACATGAATAAATACTTTTTTTTTCTTTTGAGACGGTGTCTCACTTTGTTACCCTTGGTAGAGTGTCATGGCATCATAACTCACAGCGACCTCAGACTCCTGGGCTCAGTAATTCTCTTGCCTCAGCCTCCTGAGTAGCTGGGACTACAGGAGCCTGCTACAACACCTGGCTATTTTTAGAGATGGGTCTTCCTCTTGCTTAGGCTGATCTCAAACTTCTGAGCTTGAGTGATCTGCTCACTTTAGCCTCCCAGAGTGCTAGGGTTACAGGCATGAGCCACCCCACCCAGCCCTGGATTCTTATAAACGCACCCAGGTCACTACCAATCAGGGCATTGTAATGAATTTTGCGAGAACCTTAGAAACCCTTCCTGCGCCCCTTATCCTTGTCACTCTGTCCCTTTTACCTGAATGTAACCATGATTCTGAATTATGCATTAACAAATTCTTTGCATTTCTTTAGCTTTCCACTTACATATCTCTAAACACTATGATTTGTTTTACATATTTGGAATGCAGTTACATGAAACTCCTGTACTATGTGTTCTTTTGTGCAGGGATTCTTTTTCTCTACTGTGTTGTGTGATTCAGCTGCTGTGTTGTAGGTATAATCCATTAATTTTGTGATTGTGTAGTATTCCATTGTATGAGTATGCCACAATCGATGTGGACGTTCTACTTGGGACAGACATTGGGTTGCAATGGACATTCGGGTTTTGTCAGTTTGGAGCATCAACCATCTGGTCCATGTCTCTTGGGTTCTGTGTGCGTGCATTTATGAATTTGGGGGTTGAAGATTAACAACAAATCTTCAAATCTGTTACACAACATCAGAGTGTTTCCAAACTGTGTTAATTTATAATCCTACCAGCAGTGTATTAGAATTCCTGCTGCTTTCATGTCCATCAACATTTGACTTTGTCCACTTTTTGAGTTTTAATCATTCTAGTGTGTGGACAATATTTTATTTTGGTTTTAATTTGCCTTTTCAGGTGTGTCCCTTTCCCTATGTTTATGAATTATTTGTACTTTCTCCTTTGCAAAAGACTGGCTAGAGTTTCTTTCCCATTTTTCTTCTCTATCTTGCTTTTTTCCTCTTGCCTCTTTTTCTGCCAGATTATCTATCTTATCTTCATTGATTCATAAGAATTCTTTTTATATTCTGGCTATGAGCCCTTTGAGGAGTATGTGCTTCATTAATTTACAGTCACATTCTATGGTATGCTTATTCATTTGCTTAGTGGTACATTTTGAGGAAATGATAAAGTTCTTAATTTTAATGTGGTCTTGTTTTGTTTTTTGTTTGTTTGTTTGTTTTGAGACAGAATCGCACTCTGTCACCCTGGATAGAGTGCCAGAGCTGCATCACAGCTCACAGCAACCTCAAATTCTTGGGTTCAAGTGACCCTCTTGGCTCAGCCTCCCAAGTAGGTGGGACTATAGATGCAGGCTACAAAGTGTGGCTAGTTTTTCTATTTTTAATAGAGACAGACTCTGGCTTTTGCTCAGGCTGGTCTCAAACTCTTGAGCTCAAGTAATCTGCCTGTCTTGGCCTCCCAGAATGCTAAGATTATAGCCACTGAGCCCAGCTGCAGTTAATTTATTAAGCTAGTGCTTTATATGTCACATTTGAGAACTTTCGTCTTCAACCAAAGTCATAAAAATAACCTCTATTATATTCTAAAATTGTGTTTGTTTTTCATATTTAGATCCATAATCTTCCAATAATTGATCTTTTGTGTATTGTGTTAGGATAGGAGTTGAATTTATTTTTCCCCATGCACATATCTAATTATCCCAACACAATTTATTGGAAATGTCATTCTTTCCCCACTGCTCTGCAGTGACATTTTTAGTATAAATGAAGTATCTGTATTTTATGTAGATAAGCTTCTATTATGGGTCATCGGGTTACTTGTCTACACTGGTGCTAACTAATAAAGTTAATTTTTGTAACTCCATTACATATCTTAATGTCCAATAAAATAAGTCTTCCCATCTTATTTCTCTCCTGTAAGTTGTCTTCACTATTCTTGTCCCTTTGAATTTCTATTTATATTTTAAAATCATATTGAAAATTTTTACAGAAAACAGTTTGAGATTTTTATGTAAAATCAATCTGGGGAGAAATGAACCTTTTTGCAATAATGGGCCTTCCAAATCACAAATGAGGTATATCTCCATCTGTTTCAAAATTTCTCTCATTATAGTTTATAATTTTTATGAGGAGGTTTGGTGGGTATTTTATTAGATTTATTCCTAGGAATTTGATGTTTTTAAATCTATTATCAATGGTATCATTTTACACAGCTCATTTTCAAACGGCCCTCGAATCTAGAAATGTAATTGATTTTTTTATTTTGACATTGTTGATGTTACTTTGTTTAGTCATTCATTTTTATTATTTCATATATATATATATCCTTTTCATTATCCATTGTTTCTTCGTGTACCTTGTTTTTCTGTCTGAAAAGCAGCAGCCTTTAGAATTTCCCTTAGTACAGCCTCACCATTAACAAATGCTCTCAGTTGTCTTTGATCTGAAAATGTCTATATTTCATTTTCATGTTTTCCAGTTGTTTGAATCAGGATACTAAGGAAACCTACACATCATCATTGGCTAATAAAATGTTTAATTCTTTTAACCTGTAGTTTTATCACCACTTATTTTTTCTTGCAGTTTATTTGTTGAAGCTGTCACTGTTTATCTGGTAGAGTTTCCCATAAACTTAGTTTTGCTGATGGCATCTCTGGAGTGTCACTTACCATGTTCCTCTCTCTCCTATATTTTCCACAAATTGGCAATTGGCAGTTAGAGCTAAGGAATTCATTGGATCCAGATTCAATTACTGGGTGCTAGCTTTGGTAGCACATATACTAAAATTGGAACAATACAGAGAAGATTAGCATGGCCCCTGTATGAGGATGACATGCAAATTCGTGAAGCATTCCAGAGTCAATTATTGGGCATAACAGAAGGAGATCTACATGACGTATGAACATTAGATTTGTCCCTAAGGTGTCATTGTGGAGCACTGGGGAAAGGATGGCATTTTTGATAAATAGTGCTAGGATACTTAGACATGCACATGGGGAAATGAATTTGATTCCTGTATTAACACAGTATATACGAAAATCAATTTTAGGTGGATTAAAGCCGTAAATATGAAAAACAAGCCTTCCCAGTTAGGCAGAGTTTTGAGTTTTTCCATCAGGAAGTATATAACATCCAATTGCCCCTTTTCTTGGATAACAGAAGTTATTGATCCAGTCTATCTATATGTATCATCCCAATAACTTTTTATGAATTTATCATTTCTCATCTAGTACTTTCTTCAAAGAGTACTAAATAGAATAATATTATTACATGTTCACATTTTGTGTGTGACTTTCATCCTTGAAAAACAGTTTGACTGAGTATATAGTCACTTCACATTCTCCTCTTTCAGAATGTTGAATGTTAGACCATTGTCTTCTGGAATAAAATATAGCTATTAAAAAATTAGATGGCAATATGATTTTTGTTTCTTTATACATGACTTGGTAATTTTTCTGGATCTCCAAAGGAATTTTTCTATTTCTATAAAGTTCAATTGTTTTTCTATAATACATTTGGTTATTTGTTCTAGTTTGATTTTCCCACCTGAGTAGTGTGTCCTTTCAATATATACTTTTATGTCTTTTATTATTATTGTTGTTGGGGATTCATTCAGGGTAAAAAAAAAAAACACAGATACAGCATTAAAACAATTTTTACTAAAACCATTCAGGGTACAAAAAACCTGGATACAGCATTAAAACAGTTTTTACTAAAAACCATTGATTGCATTTGTTAAAGACCCTCATGCAATTGTGTCCCACCCGCAACAGGTATACCACACACCATGTATGTCTTATTTTATTTTTCAGTTTCCAGCAAGTATTCTTGAAACATAGTTGACTAGGATTCTTTACTAACACTCTCCATTATTTTCTCTCAAATAATCTTAGTCGTTTCATTTAAGTTTGATTTTGAAATTTTTCCTTCCTTTCACCTTTTAGCTCTTAAGGCATTATCTAGTATCTTTTGTTTACTGCTATGTTCTTTCTAGTTTAATCTTTACTTCTGAAATACATTTGTTTTCTTTTTGCATTCTTTCTTGAATTCTGTCATTTCCTTTCTGATTTTTAAATTTTGGATGTATGCTCTTCTCTTATATCTTTGATAATTTTCTCAACCTCTTTTAGTTCGGTTTGATAACTGTGGACCAAATGTCTCTGTGGTGTTATCTTCAGCATCTGTAGGAATGTTACTCTGCTCTTTCTTTTCTTTTTTTCCACCATAACTTCATATGGGTAATGATCAAGGCTCTCTCCTATTTCTTCTGTATATACATGTCATATACACACACATGAACACACACATATACATATACATACACACACACATATGCAATTAGTGTTACTGAGTATACGCACACATATATACATACACACACACACACATATATGCAATTAGTGTTACTGAGTATGCACACACACATATATATGAAATTAGTGTTACTGAGCTTTTAGGAAGGAGGGTGAATCAGAATAGTTTCCCAGCTTTGCTACACAAGACCTCCTTCTTCTGTTGTTTTTGTAAAGAAGTATGGCCTTACATTTTCTGAGACCTTGTGGCATTTTTCCCCTTCCCCACTTTTATCTGGCTCTTCCCCCCCCCCTTTTTTTGTTGCAGTTTGGCTGGGATCAGGTTTGAACCAGCCACCCTCGGTATATGGGGCCAGCGCCCTACTCACTGAGCCACAGGTGCTTCCCAATCTTTGTCCTTTTTGAGCCTATTGTATCCGACTCTTTTTTTATGAAACAGAACTGTTGCCCAGGTTAGAGTGCCATGGTGTCAGCCTAGCTTATAGCAACCTCAAACTCCTGGGCTCAAGCCATCCTCCTGCCTCAGCCCCCCGAGTAGCTAGAACTATGGGCACCCCCACAATGCCCAGCTAATTTTTCTGTTTTTGTTAGAGATGGGATCTCACTTTTGCTCAGGCTGGTCTCAAAGTCCCAAGCTCAAGAGATCTTCCCACCTGGGCCTCCTAGAAAGCTAGGATTACAGGCATGAGCCACCACAACTGGCCCTCCATTTAAATTCTTTTACTGCCATTTCTCTCTAGCCTGGGAACCTTGAGCTGGTTAGCTTTGAAAAAGGGTAGTCTAGCTGTTCCACCCATTCAAACTTTACCACAAGTCCCTTATCCTCAACTGTAAATTGATTTGTAGAAAATGCCTCCTAGTTAAAGCTCCTAAATCTCTTATTAGACTCACACTTTCAAAGAATAACTACTGGAAATCTTGTGGTTTTCTTTACAAGACAATCAAAAGCCCTGTTGCTTCCCTCCACTTTCTCTCACATACAAACCACACATTTCCAGTAGCTACACATCCAAATCTAGTATGTTGTGGGCAGCTTATACTCTATTTTTGGTTTAGGTATTGTTCTTAGTCCCTTAGTTCTGCAATCTTCGTTGCCCTGTATAATTTCTTTCTTTTTTTCTTTTTTGGAGTGATTCAGATAGACTGAAAAAACACCCTCCATCATCACTACAGCTATCTTTACATTATTCCTTTCCCACTTTATTTTTGATGGATATAGAGTTTTACGATAGCAATTGTTTTTTTAAATTGACAATATTTGTCAATTTTTCTTTCTTTCTTTCTTTCTTTTTTTGCAGTTTTTGGCCGGGGCTGGGTTTGAACCCGCCACCTCCGGCATATGCGGCCATCACCCTACTGCTTTGAGGCACAGGTGCCACCTGATAGCAATTGTTTTTATAAACAAAAAAGTAAAGTTTGTTATTTCACTCTGCTGGCTTCTACTATAACTGTTGAAAATTATTTGTTACTCTTATTGCTGTTCTTTTGAAGATCATGTGTTTTCCTTTGACTACTTTCCTTTGATGTTTTTATATGAATTTATTTTTATTGCACTTGGGATTTATTCAGATACCACAAATCTGTAGATCAACAGTTTCATCCATTTTTAACCATCCTCAGCCATCATTCATCTTTCTTATTTTCTGTCTTTTCTCCTTCCAAGTCCTTTTGGGTCTTCAGTTTCAGGTATGTTAGGTATCCTTACCGTACCCAGGACTTTTCCTTCTCTTCTCTATCTGTAGACTTTTTTCTTCCACAGTATTCTCTGAAGTTTCTTCTAACCTTTCTTCTAGTTTACATAATCTCTCTTCAGCTATATTTAATAGGCTGGTTAAGTTACTTTTAGAATTCTATATTTTCTAGATCTTCAAAGTCACATTTTATAATATCTAGTTCTTTGCTGAACATATTAAATTCAACTTTCATATCTGTGGAAATAGTAAGCTAATTGTTTTACAGACTACTGAAAATTAACTTATTTGAAGTCTTTGTGGTGTATTTCAATTGTTTACCTGGTTTTCGTTTATGTTCTCTTTTCTCTTCCTGGTGTGGTTATCCTGATCATGAGCTAGCTATTGTAAATACAAATTAATTTGTAAATAGTATAATTTGATTACTGTCATGCTGTTATCTCTGTTTAGCGATAATTCTCATCTGTTGTTTCCACATACCTGAGAGTACTAGCAATAAAAAATTATCTGAATTTTAGGGAATGAGATTTTTCTGGGCTGCCCAGATGACTTACAAACAAACTGCACTCCATATGAACATGATTTTGTGATTATTTTTAGGATCTCGTCCTTCCATATTCCAATTCTTAGTGTAGAATGTTATATTAGGACTCCTAATTTTGGAAAGCCCTGGGCTTCAACTTTTGTCACCCTAACCTTGCATGACACTGTTAAAGATATTGCTCAAACTCTCAGCCTCTTCTGCCTCATAGTAAATAGTCCCTGGGCAAAAGGGGACAAAATGCAGGCCCACTTTTGGGGATGTATATTTTCCCCAGCATCTTTTCCTAGTAATGCTACACTAACTGGATTTTTCTTTGATATTTTTAAAGGGAGATGTTTTACATATTTCTTCTAGAATTTAAAAAAAAATTATTTTTAGGAGGGAAAATAATCATATAATTAGCATTTCATTGAGAATGTCAAGTTATGCAAATGGAAAGGAAGCATTTTTTCAGTCCAGGCTCATTTCTATGGCTAAAATAACCTGAAGAGGGTGGGTAGAAACCACTGAAAAATAGTTTCTAAAAGTTTTAGCTCATTATCCTTTGACTATGGAAGTGACGTCTGTCAGGTTTATTTTGTATCTTGTCTGTATATTTTATTTTCCATGTCTGCTAAAAAATAAATTCTGTTGGTCTTTCTATTACATGCTCTATAGGAGAGGCAACCCAGTGCCCTGATTTCTCAAAAGAAAGAACGAGCAAAAGGTCATGAGGCCTATGGATTACTTTAATCTCCTTCTTTGACATCCTGCCAAGAGATTTCTATTGGCAAAAGCGGCAGCCAAGTTTAGTGACACTTGAAATGAGATGGTATCAGTTTGGAGATGCAGAGACCTATCCTCCTATACTTGGTGGATCTATTAGCTTTTGCTTTTCTGCTCATGAGAAATAAGGGACACTAAGCTCCTCCACTGTTCATCCCACCCCATCCTGTGTGAGGCCAAGGCATTTTGAAAATACTAGGTCTGTGTTCCATTACAGATCCACTACTAAAACTATGTGATAATGATAGTAATAAAGTTACTGTTAGAATCACTGGGATGAATTACCAAGGACTTTACGTGTTTTAACGCCCTATTATCATTACAACAAATTCATGAAAAAATGGATGCAAACAAAGTTTAATTAGTAATCCAAATGCACTCATTTAGTGAATTCCTACTAGCATTTCTTATTTTATATTTTCCACCTGTATGATGGTAAATAGTAATTATCTTTGATGGGATGATTTGATAAGGTAATTATGTAATATACAGGCATGGCATAGACACTAAATATTGTTAGCTGCCTACATAGGCAGAGATACATTATAAA